TCTCCAGTCGTGAGCGTCCTCGAGGGAAAACCCAAGGCTCAGGGTTGACAGCGCTCGTCTCCCAGGCCTGGTGAGGGCCTTCAGGGGACAGGTGGCGCCTCTGTAGGTGGAGGCGTGTCCTGCACCTTGGGGTCCAGGACCCTGGGCCGGCAAGGGTCTGCAGCCACACGGCGAGCTGCGAGGGGTAAGGACTGGATCATTGAGGTTGTGGGGCTTGGACGGGGGCTCGTCCTGTCACAGCGGAGTCCCTGGGGTGGCCAGTGCGTCAGGATGTCAGGTCGTTTCTGTGGATGACGCTCAGTGCGGCGTCTCCTCCAGTTTCCACCAGGCCTTGGAGCGTACATTTCTCCTGGAGCGGGCGGGGGACTCTGGGACCATCTTGCGCAGCCCTGATGAATGGGCAGAGGTCGAGCTTAGGCTAATGTGATTCTTGGAGGTTTTGGTTCCTCTCTTGCGCTTTGTTGTGCCCTCCCTACCCCAGAGCTCGCGGTCGTGACAGGTGGCTGGGGGCTCAGGGACGAGGGTGCTGGTCCTCTCCTGTCCTGTGCACTGCCAAGGCCCCGTGGACGTTTGAGGGCACGTGGGGTGTCCAGAGGGGAAGGTGTTTGCAGTGATAGAGGAACCTCAGCTTTTACATCAGGGCTTTGGCAGCCTTTCTGAGAGCTCACCGATTTGGGGCACCTTAAGATGTGGTTTAGCTGTTTCATACCTTCTGCTGTGTTGCTGCTCAGGTGCTCCGGGTCCACACAGGACACAGGACACAGCCCTTGGTGACGGGGGCCGAGAAGTCCTAGCCAGTCCCCATCAGTTCCGACTGCTGATTAAAAATCACATGCTGACCGTTAGGTTTTTCCTTTCTTCTTTTTTTAATTGTAAATCTGCACCCTGATGTCTGGTTATCGTTGCAGAGTTTCTGGAAGGAGGAGTTGGCCACATCGAAATGCTCTTTCGCTGCAACTATTTGGCTTTAGTTGGTGGAGGGAAAAAGCCCAAATACCCTCCGAACAAAGGTAAAGTAGTCATGCGCGTGAGCAGTCACGTCTCGAGCTTCTCAGAATCTCTGAGGCCCTGAGATTGTGAAGGACTAGTCACTGGGGAAGAAGCGTCTGGAAAGAGAGGGTCTTTCCCGCTCCCGGGAGCAGAACTGCGGGACAAGGGTCCTCCTTCCCGTGGGCGCGGAGCACGTGCTCTGCAGTTAGTGTCAGCTGCACACGCGGCACCCCGAGCCCCGATCCTGTTTTGTTCTGGGAGTTCTTCTGCGGTTGGTATCCTGGGTCGTGAGTTCAGTTTGAAGCAAGGTGTGGGGAGGCTCTTTTCCTTCAGAGGAACACAGACAGGTCATCACGTAGAACAAGCCACAGACTCACAGAAACACACGACAAAGAACCACGTTGGCGCTGGGTCGAGGGGTGTTTTTCTTGGTGTGCGTGTGAGTCGCGTGCTCAAAGCGACGGCTTGTGTGAAGGGCATGGTCTTCTGAAGGGAAGGAGGAACAGACCCTTCACAACTGTGTAGCTGTGTAAGTAGGTACCACTGGGGGAAGAGGAAGAAACGTAGGAAAGGGGGGAGCCACAGGAGAGGTGCGGGTGGGCCCAGACCCCACGGACCTCGGTGCCAGCTGAGGCTGTGGTCGGGAAGAGTGCCATCGGGTCTGAGACACAGAGTGTACGGCTGGACATTCTCGTCCAGACTCCGAGGTTGTTGGCAGGAAGGGAGCCATGTTCGCTGAAAGAGGCTGGGGAGCGGAGCAAGTGTGCCTGTCGGGCAGATGCTGGAGAGAGGAGGGGTCGGGGTGGCCCTGGGACCAGTACAGACTGCTGGGCACCCCAGTGACAGGTTCCACAGTGTTGGGGCAGTGGAGACCACCCTCTCTCGTGGTTTGGCGGGGAGAGAAGGCATGTGGTGAGGGAGGGCCCCCCACAAAGAGTGAAGATGAGAGTGAGCAGGGCCTGCGTGGGCCCGTGCACGGGGAGCAGCCCGGGCAGCAGCGGGGACGGGGACTAGGCGGCCAGGGCCCGGCTGGCAGCTCTCAGTGGAGCCTTGGGGTCGTGTGGATGTCCTGTGGGAGGTGGAGCTGGAGGCTGGAGGGCAGGAAACCTGGCTGCTGTCCAGTCTTGCTAGCCTGGCCACACAGGCAGAGCCGTGGCTGTCGGTCCTGGAGAGGCCACCCAGAAGTGACACAGAGCACCATGCTGGGGCCGGGAATGGGTGCCTGACTTGGGGATGGGCAGGGAGTCCTGCTGCTGGGTCAGTCCTTGTCTTATGACTTCCAGTGACCACTGATCGTGGACAAGGTGGGGGGTGGGGAGCCTGGCCCGCCTGTGGCACTGATGGAGGAGGGGTCGCTGTTCCCCCCCAAGGACTGGATGACCTCTGGGGTATCTTTCATCTGTAACATCTTATTCTCAGTAAAAAAAAATTCCAAGACGTGAAAGAGCCTCAGAAGCTTTACTGACTCAGGAGAAAGCTACGTACTAACCAGATGTTTTGAGGAAACTTAAAGCTCTCTGTTGAGTGCAGTTTTTAAAGAACTCGGTCGTAACTCCTTTGTTCTTTCAGTGATGATCTGGGATGACCTGAAGAAGAAGACCGTTATCGAGATAGAATTTTCCACAGAGGTCAAGGCTGCCAAACTGCGGCGAGATAGGTAGGTTTGGCATCTGAGTTTTACAAGTGGGAGAGTTGCTTTCTCTGCAGATGGCCGAAATCATTTTACGTTGAAGGAAGAGACGTGTTCAGGGAGACGCTGTGTTAAAATGTGAGCCTAGTTCACGGCCAGAGGTGCAAGGGAGGCAGTGAGTTTCACTTGTATCTGGGGATGGCTCAGAGGTGAGCGGCTGGGGACAGCGCGGACCAGGGACTGAGTTTTGAACCTTGAACTGCCTCCCGCGTCCACGCGCACCCAAGTGCTGCCTCGTGTTTCAGTGTGAAGGGAGACTCGGGGACTCGCCCTGAGGTGGTGGTGCGGAGCCTCAGCTGGTGAAGGGAGCGGGTCTCAGCCGCACCTTCATGGCGTGAGGACAGCGTAGGCTTTTCATCGTATGTTGAGCAAAGCTTCATTCATTTGCATTTTAACTTGGTGTGATTCACATGTCATGCGTGGCTTTGGGCGGACAGTGCTGAGCACGGAGAGGTCCTTCCAAACGTCAGCACTTACGGGCTCGTGATAATGTGCGTCCTGCCAGCAGCTCGAGGGTCTTCCCCTCGCTCACACTTCTGGGTGAGCGAGACGTGCTGGGGTGTGTCCGGGTGGAATGTCACCTGTTCTTCTCGGTCTCTCCCCGGGAGGGACATCTGACGAGAGGGCCCTCACCCGTGAGGGGCTCTCCATGCTGAGTGCCAGCCTCTTGCCCGCGCTGCTTGCCAGCCCACTTCAGGAATGATCCTCTGTGTGTGCTAGTTCAAGTGCTGCTAAGTCTTAAAGCGATGAGAACAAAACTCACAGACTCTGTGAGTTTCACTCTCGGGGAGAGAAGTTCTGATGGTGATTTTTTTCTCTCCAGAATCGTGGTGGTTTTGGACTCAATGATCAAGGTGTTTACATTCACACACAATCCCCACCAGCTGCACGTCTTTGAAACCTGCTATAACCCGAAAGGTAAGAAGTCAGAGGAGGGGGAGCTGGAAACTGGCCAGGTCCCGCAGGCCTGTCTTACGCCGTAGCGACGGGGCCTGGGGACGTGGCTTCCCCCTTCGTCCCTCCACCTCGTCCAGGTGAACCTCCCACCGCCGCACCCTGCAGCCCGGCCTCCTCCGGGGGGTTCGAGACCTCGCCTCTTAGCAGAATCCAAGGGGCTCTCGGGGCTCTGTGGCCTGGCGCGGCCGCTCCAGCTCCGTGGGACCCCGGGGTCTGTGCTTCATCAGGTTCTGGGGCGTTTTCTTCCCTTTCTCTGCTGGAGGGAGAACTGCCTGGGTGACCTTGGTACTCACTGCATAGTCTTAATTTTCCTCTTAGAGTTTGGGGGCCTTTTGTCTCGGTTTGTTGAGGGATAATCTATGTAGAACTCGCTCAGTCACAGTACGCCATTTGACGACCTTTAGTCGTGAAAGTGGTGTAGCCCCCAGCGCGGTCCCGTCACCCAGAAGAGCTGCTTCAGGCGGTGCACGCTTGCCTTTCCACGAGTGCTGGTGTCGCTCTTCGATTCTGCCGCGGCTCTAGCGTGTCCGCACTGCTGCGTAGCGTCCACCAACGCCCCGCCGGGCCGAGCCCCGCCGGGCTTGGCTGCTGCGCACGTTCATGGACTAAGTCTTCGTGTGGATGTATGTTTTCAGTTTTCTCGGGTGACTACTGAGGAGTTCAGTTGCTGGGTCATCCTGTAATTAATTTTTAGATTCCACACACAGCATTTGTCTTTCTTTGACTTGTTTCAGTCAGTGTAACGCCCGCAGGCCCATCCATGTTGTTGCGAATGGCAAAATTTCATTTTTCTGGGTGGCCGAGTGGAAGTCCGTTGTGTATGTCTCTGCTCTGTGTCTTGACTGGAGCGTTTAGTCCACTTACGTTAAAGTCATGACTGATACGTGTTCTTGCTGCCACGTTAATTGTTTGGGATTGCTTTCTTAGTTCTTTTTTGTTCCTTTCTTCCTTTGTTTTCTTGTGATGTGATGACTGCCTTTCGTGTTATGTTCGGATTCCCTTCTCTCTGGTGTGTGTATCTACTGCAGGTTTTGGTTTGTGGTTGCCATGAGGTTCGCGTGTAGCAGTCTGTATGTCAGTATTTTAAAGTGCTGATCTCTTCATTGCAAACGCATTTGCACTCCCCTCTGCCCATAGTTCCTGTTTTTGACGTATTTTATGTTACTCTGTTTTGCGCTGCGTCCTTTAACTACTCGCAGCACAGGTCGGCGATTTTACTGCTCCCTCTCAGCCTTCGTGACTAGTGTGCTCGTGGTCGACCTCACTGCCTGCGCTGCAGGTTCTGCCTTTACGGCCCCGCTTGTCCATGAGCAGTTTCACGTTTCTCATCGTGGCCTTTAGAGAAGTTTCTTTACCATTTGTGTAAAAGCCCTTTTTTCTGCATAGGATTACCTTGGTACCTTTTTTTCATATATATATATCAAGTAAGTGTAAGATTTTTCCAGACTCTTTACTCTGTTCTGTGGTCTGTGTCTCTGTCCTTGCCACCCTGACTTCTGGAACTTCAAGATAGTTCTTGAAATTAGGCAGTATGAGTCCTCTAAGCGTGTTCCTGTGTTACAGGAATTTTTCTGGCTATTCTAGGGCCTTGTCTTTCTTGTAACTTTCAGCGTCAGCTTGTCTGCTCGAAACGCCTGCAGAGTGTGTAGTTGTGGCTGCACTGACTGGAGAGGATGCAGGTTCCGCCTGTCACAGGGCAGCTATGCACCGACCAGGTCTTTCTTTGGTTTTCCTTTGCCAGTTGCGAGAATCTTTCACACCTGCCATTAAACTATTCCTGCATATTTTGTTTTTTTATGTTATGGTTAATGGATTCAGTTTTAGATTTTACAATTTTGTATTCTTGGTGGCTGGCACCCCAGAGGTGGGACATTTGGTGAAGTTTATCCAGTAACAAGTTCAGCAAATATTTCTGATTATGACGCTGTCTCCCAGGAGGAAGCGTGCCTGGCCCCCAGCGCCCTGTCCAGTGACAGGACTGTGGACAGTTCTGACTTGGTTGCAGGACCTGGAGGGCAGGCAGAGGCTCCAAGCCGTCCTGAGTCCCTGACAGGCGTCTCCTCTCTGCTCAGGCCTCTGTGTCCTGTGCCCGAACAGCAACAACTCCCTCCTGGCCTTCCCGGGCACGCACACAGGCCACGTGCAGCTCGTGGACCTGGCCAGCACCGAGAAGCCGCCGGTGGACATTCCCGCCCACGAGGGCATCCTCAGCTGCATTGCTCTTAACCTGCAGGGAACAAGGATAGCGACCGCATCTGAGAAAGTGAGTGGGCGCCCCCGCCCCGCCGGGGAGCGGCCCTCGCCCCACTGGGGAGCGCCCCCACCCCTCTGGGAAGCGGCCAGGCTCCCGCGTGGACTCTCGGGGCTGAGAACCAGCCCTGCCCTGAAGATCCTGTGCCTGAGACTCCTAGTTGGCACAGGGGGTCCAAAGTCACTTCACTTGGTTGCGCCCGTTTGGCACGTAACAGTGCTCCCTCTTCTCACCGGCTGTGTGAGTTACAGTTAAGATGCCATCTCCCTCCACAGTGAGTGAGCTGACAGCACCTGGGGCTCCGTGTCCGCCAGGGGCACGTGCGCCTGGGCCTGGGGTCTCCCCGACCCTGTCCTGAGCCATGCCCGGTGCTGTTGGCCGGCCGCAGAGCCCTGGTCCACTCGTGCTCACAAGCAGAGGGACAGCCGAGTTTCAGATGATGTGGGTGACCTGGGAGAGGGTTGGATGGGCTAATGTTTTTGTGAATATAAATCATTTCAAAAAACTAAAAGTTGTGAATCTTTGATAATGAAACACTTCACTGTTTTTCAAAGGGGACCCTTATAAGAATATTTGATACTTCATCAGGGCACTTAATCCAGGAACTGCGAAGAGGATCTCAAGCAGCGAACATTTATTGGTAAGAAGCACGTCGTTTTGCCCAGGAGGAGGCCTCTGCTCGGGCCTTGACGGGCCGTTGCGGCTGGGGGTCACCGCCTGTGAGGTGGGCGGGGCTGCTGTGCTGCCAGGGGTCGGGTTTCTTGCTCGCTTGTCACTGAGTCTGGCTTTTTATTAGGGGAACACACAAGGGCGGAGAGGCTGTTAGGCTCGCCACCATCCACCACCCTGCCTCAGCACTCGCCCGTGTGTGCGTTTGCTTCGTCTCCTCACCGTCCCGGCTTCCTCTCTGTAGCGTTTTAAGGCAAACGCTGGAGGCCTTGGTGACGCATCTGTAATCACTCCCGTCTCCTGTGAGACTGAACCGCTTGCTGTCGATGGTGGTTCCGCGCCCCACAGCGTCTGCAGCTCTGACAGGCCGGCCCTGCTCGGCAGGACCTCATGCTTTGCGTCTGTGGCCTTGGCACGTGTGGAGCTGCATTTGGGCCTGTGTGATGAAAATGTAATTAATTAGTACCTGGATTTGGTGCTTGTGCCCAAGGGGCCCTGTGGTCTGTCTGCTCGCAGGCCCCTCAAACCAGCCTGTTGATGCCCCCCTCCAGAGGGGCCACGGTGGCTGGAGGGGAGTTTTTCTCACCTGAGTGGCATGCTGGGATGGCCTTGGGAATCCCAGCTGCGTCTGCCCCAAGGAGGGCCAGGCCCTGGCTTGGACCCTCTGGTTCCGTGGTGAATGCTGTCGGCTCATTGAGGAGGCAGGTTCTTAAAGCTGCTGTCTGAGTGCGGGCCTGCTGAGGGCGGGGCTGGGCTCTTCTGCATCTGCCAGAGCCCAAGTTCCATCTGGTTTCTCTGCAGCATTAACTTCAATCAGGACGCTTCCCTCATCTGCGTGTCCAGTGACCATGGCACGGTGCACATTTTTGCAGCCGAAGACCCCAAAAGGAATAAGCAGTCTAGGTGGGTTTCCCAAACAAGGAGGGCTAAGTGTTGCTGGAGTGCCGGCAGATTCCACACGAGGCACTGTCGGGACCTCTTTCATGGTCATTCCTTTGATTTTCCGAAAACCAGTCCTTGGTGCTGGAACAGTGGCGTCATTACGTCCCCTGCCGTCAGCTCCTTGGAAAATGTCCGAGGAGGGTCGAGGCGCCTGCCCCCAGGATGGGCCTTGGTCCTGAACTCCCGCCGCTGCCCCCGTGCTTGCTGTCCAGGGAGTTACGTTGGTGGCAGGAGAGCCTCTGCCCTCCCGCTGCCCTTGGTGTCTAGTTTATTGTAAAGCCAGTCGTGATGGCTTAGCTTTCTTCATGAGAAAAATTAAAGTTAAAAGGGAAAGTGGAATTTAAATCATGAATGCTAATGTTACATTAAAGAGGGCTGTGTCTTTAACTTTGTTTTGTGAATGTAATTCATTCTTTTCTTGTTTTCCTAGTCTGGCGTCAGCCAGTTTCCTTCCAAAATACTTCAGTTCCAAGTGGAGTTTTTCCAAGTTTCAGGTTCCCTCAGGCTCTCCCTGCATCTGTGCCTTTGGAACAGAGCCAAATGCTGTCATTGGTAAGTGGTCCTTCTGGAGGGGAGTGGCCCCAGCTCCACCAGCCGCCCTTCCTCTCTCCAGGGCCCATGTGTCCCTCTCAGGGTCTGCACGCTCCTGCGCTCAGGTGTCCCAGGCAGGCGCTGGGGCAGATCATTTGGTTTTTGAACTGATGACCAGAGAGGGTTCCCCCCTGCCACTCTGCCTTAGTGAGCACAGCACCCCCAGGACGGGGTGCTTGGTTCTGTGTGGCCGGTAAGGATGGGGAGCCCGGCCACCCACAGGGCACCCGGAGCTGCTCAGCCTACGTGGAGCCGGTGCCATTCACCTCAGGCGGGCTGCAGGCTTTTAACCTTGAGTAAAATGGTATCCTTCTGTCCCAGCCATCTGTGCGGACGGCAGCTACTACAAATTCCTCTTCAACCCCAAGGGGGAGTGCATCCGGGACGTGTACGCGCAGTTCCTGGAGATGACGGATGACAAGCTGTGACGCTCCCTGGGCACCAAGCTCCCGGGCTGGGGCCGGGCTGGAAGACGGCCTGCGACCTTGGTCTCGAAGCCTCCCGTGGCCATCTGTTTCCTGAGCCAGGCTTCCATCTCCAGGGTCAAAGAACCTTCTTAGGGCACCATTGGACGCTCACGCCCAATGCTGGCTTTACCTTTAGTTCAGCTGTGACGCTCGCTTCTGCGGCTCCACCGCTTCCCCCGCTGCAGCTGGGGCTCCGCACACACTTCAGGGCGCTGAGAAAGGGAGGGACGGAGCGCAGGTTGTCTGTGGCGCCAGATTGCATCCTTCGACTGAGTCTGTCGTGGGGAAGTGAAAACACGCGTAGGTTAGCTTGCGCTTTCTCGCCGGATTTCAGTGGATGACAATCCCAGCGGCCTCAGAAGTGGGAGATGACAGCCTCTTCCCGCCTGAGCATGGAGAAAGGCAGAGAACCCAGGCCCGCACCTCCCGGGAGCACGTGCCCCCCCAGGAGCAGAGCCACGCACAGGCTTCACCAGTGGGGCCTGGAAGCAAGCGCCACTTAGGGTAGAGGCTGCGAAGGGAAGCGCTGGGCATCTCCACGACTGGCGCCTGCTTTCTGTCGCATCCGCCAGCCACCCACTCCCCCTCCCGAAGTCCGCACACTAACCTCCCGGGAGTGAAGGGCACACACTTTTCTTTAACGTTTGGTGACTAGAGTAGGTAACGGGCTCTATGTTGTTAGTGCTACCTGAGGTACATATTTAATTTTCTTAAATTCCTTTCAAACTTAATTTTGTGTTTTGATTTCAGGTTGCAAACGTTTAAAATCTGCAGCAGCAAGTTCTTGGTTTTGCCAGTTCCTTACTGTCATGTGATCAGCTAACTTTGTGGGTTTCAATGTAAAGTATGCATGTTACTTTTACGTGTATTTAATCATGAAATTTAATTTTGCACACTTATTTGTAATTTTTCTTTTAAATAAAAGTGACTAATTTTGTTGTACTCCGTACCCATCAAGGGAGAAGAATTGTATGTTACAAAACCAACCCGCTAGTTTTAGCCTCTCGTTGGACTGGAGGCTGCAGGCCCATTGCGCCTTCAGGCTGGACTGTCCAGGGCTGCATGGGGGTCAGGTGGACACTCTGCCCCTGGGGTGACAGCCTGGCTGGGGGAGCAGAGGGGAGAGGGATGTTCATTACCGGTTCCTGTTGGGCCTGATGGGGAAGAGCCGTCCCTTTGTGGGGACACCGGTGGTGTCGGGCCGCCCACCAGTGTCCACCTAACACTGGCCCAGTTCTGGGCCCAGGAGGAGGAGGGGTCCTTCACATTTACATCATCTCTGGTTTCTCTTTTCCCCAAACACAGTCCCTTCAGTGTGTCCAGACACGGGAAACGAGGGGAAAGCTTCGTAAAGGAAGTGTGAGCGTCGGTGCGTGGAGATGCTCAGGGCTGGGGGGACGCGAGGCTGGGCAGGGAGCTAGGCTGCTGGCCTGGGAGAGCCGGGCCCCGGCCCCAGGCTCCCTGCCCCCGAGAAGTGTCCACCACGTGGGAGCAGTGTCGCCTCCTTTGTGAAGTGACAGCAGGACACCCTGGATGCTGAGAGTGAGCCCTCCGGGCCTGTGCTGCGACGTGCAGGCTTTCTCTGGGGACAGTGGGCACACCTGTCTCGCCTGGGAGATGCCCAGAGGGGCAGCCAGGCCCCACTCCCGCCAGCCCTCGCTTTCCCACCTCGGTGGGTGTCGGCAGAGCAGTGCCTGCAAGGGGCTGTCAGGTGACCGTTCTGTGGTTCATTCAGGGCAGCGGGAGACTTGGTTTTGTTTGCAGCCTGACGAAGGGAGGGGGTGACTCTTGCCAGGCCTGAGTCTGCCGTCCAGGGCGTCCCTGAGCCCCACTTGCAGGCTGCGCTGGACAGGCTGGTGTGTTGCTGCCCCAGGTGTCAGTGTGAACATCCAGGAACCGCCTCCCGTGACCCTACTCTCCAGCCACGGGCCATGCCACCCACGGGCCTCTGATGTCTCGGCACCCGGCAGCCTCCCCACGGCCTGGGGCTGAGGCCTCTCCCTCCTCCCGCTGAAGCTTGTGCAGCCAGAGCTTTTCACACTTGTGTTTCCTTTTGCACCCAAACCAAGCCCAGCTTCCAGGTGAGTCACAGAGGTGACCGCATGCAGCTTGATCCCTGGCCGCATTCTTTCTGTGAGGGGCGTCTGACCGATGACAGCACTCCTGGGACCTGTGCTAAATTCTGCTCTTTGAAATGGATCAGAAAATACGTATGATCGAAATACAAATGTTCGTTATGAAACGGAAGAGGCCACACAGGCGGAAGCAGAAGACCGTGGTGCCGCGCCTTGTGGGGCCAGCAGCGTCCTCGGGACTGTCCTTTCACTCTACGCAACTCACGAGCGCATCAGGACACACCTGAATTGCCCAGAGATGCCCGTGTGTGTGTTCTGCTGTTTTAAACATTTTGGAAATGGGAATCCTCGTGCTTGCCCGCCTGTTTCTCCAGTAGCAGAACCACAACTGCCAGGCCGAGGGTCTGCGCCTGGAAGCCGGAACGTTCGCCGCCTCCCCTGCCGGGGATCCTGTCGGTGTCCACACCCTCACCCTCACCGGGACCAGCTCTGTGCAGAGTCCTCCTAATCTGACGAAGAAAGAGATCACCGACTTCTGTCACGCTGGACATTTCAGAATACGTTTGCTGGCCATCTGTAGTATTCTGTAAATCGCTTATTCAAGTCTGCCTGTTTTTCTGTTGGTATATTTTGCCTTTTTTGCTCATGAGAATCTCTTACATAACCACCCCTTGTCACTTTTTTCACTCTTTCAGTCTGAGGGTTTTTACTTCGCTGTGTTTGTACCTTGAGTTCTCAGGTGGTCTGATCCGTCAGCCTCGTTCTTCATGGTTTCTGGTCAGCTCGTGATTAAAACAAAGCGGCATTTTCACGGGGCACTGTTTACGGGTCTTGTTTTCACAGTTCACGTGGCGTGACCTCCAGGTGCGTAACGAGGTAGTGGCCCCGTGTCCCCCCACACTGGGCAGTCAGGCACCCGCTGCCTGTCCAGGTTCACGCCACGGTCCTGCCATCCCGTCCAGCTTAGCCCTCTTCTGGTTTGGATGAAGTTGTGCTTTGCTTGCCACTGTGGGCAGGAGCGCTCGTCAGCCGGGTCACCTGTTAGCTGCTGACGGACAGCACTGCTCCCGGAACAGCTGTGCTCTGCCTTCACAGCTCTGCTGATCTGAAGCACTTGTTTTCCAGGTGAGCTTTAAAGTAAATGTTAGAATAGCTAAAAATAAGCAAAATTTTATTGGAATCCCAAAAATGCAAAGACGATTGAGTCTCAGTGCTGAGGCACCGGGTGCTTCAGGATTTAGTCAGCGGCCGTGTGGGAACGCGCCCAGTGGCACGGGAAGCGTGATCCTTGGCATCTGCTGGTTTTTAAATGACGTGGAGCCCTTTGGTCTGCCTGGGCAGGCGCAGTAAGTCTCTTACGTTCTGGTTCTGTCCCGGAACGAGAGCTGGTGGATGAAATCACGGTTTGGAAACGACTTGTGTCTGTGTTTGGCTTTGTGTTCATCACATATGGGGCTTAAGGACCTTCTTGAATCTAGATTCATGGGTTTCACCAAATTTGTGAACATCTCAGCCATTATTTCCTCAAATAGTTTTTCTGCTCTTGTCTCTTCCCTGCTGGGTTTCGGGCACGTGTAGCACCTTCCACTGACCCACTGACTGGTCGCTGAGCTGGTCAGGGATTTTGTAGTGTTTTCTCCTGTTGTTAAGACGAGGAGAGTTTTTCCCTACCATCAACTCTCCTGTTACTGCCCACTCTGTGGTAAAGCCTGAACCATGTAACTGAAATTGGGGGTGAATCCATCAATTCTAAAACTGACAACTCCGAACTGCTCGTTGACAGAAGAGTCCCTCTCCGCCCCTGCGTGTTTGCAGCGCGCGAGGTGAAGTCTCTGGCAACCCTCCCGTCTGGGCCTTCTGGGAGCAGGGCCCCCGGAGTTTGCTCTGTTCTGTGTAAGAGTCACGGCAACGCGTCTAGTCCTTCGGGGTTGCCGCCTGGATGTTCCAATGGTACGCTGTAGATATTACGGATTCTGTTGTGTTTCTCTGAAGAAAGTAGATTTTTGCTTTGCTAAGTGTTTAACCACGCTGAACCGGCCCTGCCCGGGTGTGAGCGGGCGGGGCCGAGATGAAGGGGCAGGCGAGGTGCTCACGCTTGGCTTCCCGCTGCTGGGTGGGGTCACGTGCCTCCGCTGTGACTTCCGAACATTCAGCCAGCCCTGCAGTCTGAGATGAGCCCCGACCTGGTCGCGGTGTGTTAGCTTTCTCCTGTCCCTCAGGGGCTGTGCATTTACTGCTGAATTCAGCTCACTGGTGTTTGTGGATGTGTGTGTAGAGAGACTCATCGCTGATTGTCTC